CGGGAGCCCCAAGAGTTTGGCTAATTCGGCCCTTCTTTTTTGAAAGTGTGTTTAACAGGTCATGATGGGATCTAAAAATTTCGGCGAAAGTCCCTTGATATAGTATCCTTACCCAGGCCAGTACACATTGAGGTCATTAATTAGTGAATTACGAGCATGATGGAATACAGATAGGCTAGATGTCAGAGAACTCTTTTATCAGCTGTTTTTATTGGCAAATGTGTTTACGTCAATCAAGTGGCATTCAATAAATGTGATAAAATAGCCACAAACCATTTGGAACCTCTGAGAAGTCGAGCAGGTACCGTAACGTTTCTTGGATGATGTCAGTCGGGTCGTCCTCTATAGTGGCGAATGCGACGGCGCACGCACTGCTCAAAAGCAGCAATGCGACGTGCATTTTCTCGGATACGGCCCTGGAACATCCTTTATTATCGAGAAGTAGTGTCTAGAAATTATTCGGTAGACGTGGCAAGTTTTCAGGAAAGACCACTCCAAACTTCGACAATGCAAGTGCCACTGCAGTATTGAGGAACAAGCGGATAATAGAGAACATGGGTTGGATTCACTGAATAACTTTATAGTACTCTACGCTGTTGGGGAAGAGTAGGGGAAGTTCGAATTCACTCAGATCCTGCTGCAATCCTTAGCTAGATGTCTCACCATGGTTCACGTCTTTGGGGAAATACCATTCATCAGGCATGTTTTGAAAATTTTCACGATCGGCCCGGCTCTGATTAATTCTTTCAAGGTTGAAACAAGCCTAAGAGTAGTCATTCAAGATGGATATGGCGTTGCAGTGCGTACAGTGACTTGAGCGAACCTGTAGATATGGTGTGGACACTCAGATGGGATTATTTACCAGACTANGGATCTGTAGACGATCAGGTAAGGTAAGCATAGAATGACCGGTGTCGCCGATGCCAGCTCCCACCTCAGCCAGAATTGATTATTACTCTATTTCAAGTGGTAACATCCGATTGGGCTCCTTCCCAACCATATTTTTTTAGGAACTGACTTGACAATTCACACCCTGCTGACATTTGCGGCAGTCTATTTCTTATGTGAATATTCGAGAGAGGATAATGAAGGAGAATAAGAAAAAAAGGAATAAAGGAAGATTCAATGCTGATTAGTAAGCTGCCACGATGCCTCAGTAGAAGCTGCTACAGCAAAGATTTCCGATTTGAAGGGAAGCGAAAGCTGGACGGCAAGCTTCAAAGCCTTTCTTGACAGTGGAACAGTTGCTTTTCTTTCTGTTGAAGCAATATTTTCTAGGAAATCTTGGAAATTTTGAAATTCAATACCTAAATGGAGAAAATAATGCAGGAAACTGCAGTGGACGATGAGAAAGCCAATACAAGACGAGCTAAGCTAGGCCTCGGCGAAAGCGTCAACTAAAAAGACGATGTCAACATAATAGCGAGTGCTTCGGGAAAGTTTTGTGAGGAGAAGATTTATGAGCGTCGACTTGGGACCATGCAGCCGACGATGTGACATCTCGTTCGTCTAAAATTGGCAAAAAAATAGGCTTTTTGAGCGATGAGACCGAAAAACGCGACAGCATTCGAGTGAGCTTTGTTCGTGGAACGGAGGCAGAGGCAAGTGGTTGCTGTTGTTGGTTGACAGATCAAAGGGTCCCGCAACCGTCTCTGTACAGAAGGGGCTGAACAAAAGCTAAGGTCGGAAGTAAGTTACCGAGTTACAGCTTGAGCGAGTTACAGGTAAATATGATTCGAACGGGTTCTTTCCACTGAGACGTAGAAGAGATCCCACTGTTTTAAGCTTTAAAACTTTTTCCCTTGAAATCTCTGCTTGCGACTTCAAAGAAATGTGCATCGATGTTATCGTCTTTTTTTGTTTACGTTTTCCGTAGTAAACATTAATAATGGGTAGTAGCGCTAAGAGGTTATGTTTATGTAAAAATGGAAGAATGCTACCGTTTTTTATAATCTCGTTGTCAGCGAACAATTCGAAGTGACGATCACTATTGGGATATCTCCCGAGGATGGCAAGGTCTGGACAAAACTTGTTCCTTGCTGGGACTCCGTACTTGTGGTTCATGGGTCGGCGCTCGTAATCCTCCATACAAACTATTAAGAAGGCGAAGGCAAGCGGAATCTCGGGGCCCTCAAAGCACAAGAGGTGGTTCGAGTCCCTTCTATCTGGGACGAAGTTTTGCCCCCAGCTCACTAACTTTGTCATTGTGCACTGTGGCCAGGAATAACAGCAATCAACATAATCATCAAGTCAAAAGTAGAAGGGTGGTTTACCACTGAGGGTTGAGCGAATTCGGTATATCTATTTGGAATAATTCAGATTTTCTCTAGGTTGGATTTCATTCGACCATAGTGATGACCACGTCGACCACAAAGTCCCCGAGATTCTGGGTAGTCTCTAGCAAAGAGTTTTGTATATGGTAGAACTGGTTTGGACTTCATGAAGGATTACGGTTACATGTTGGCAGCCTCGAGCCTCGTTCCTGCGCCAATCCTATAACTATAAAAGTTTGAAAGAAGATGCGGCTTACAGTTGCAGCCA